GGGGGGGGGGTGGAGAGGGCAGAGGCAGGCAGGAGGTACATAATCCCTAGCTGCTGGCTTGTGTCTGAGCCAGGCTGGCTTGAATAGGGCTTTGTGGCCTTCAGTGAGTGACTTCATAAGGTACAACCAAGCAAAAAGATACTGAACTTTGTAACCTCAGAACCTATGAAGGTGCCTGAAACAGAGTGGGGTTCAATCTACGTTCACTGGATTATCTGTCAAGGCGACTTCACAGGATCCTGACCTCATGGCTGCTCTCGTTTCCCTGAAGTGGACTCCTGTAGCTACTTTCCAGAAGGAACCTCATTTGGGAAACCCTCATGCCCAGGGTGGCTTCTGGTTGCTGGTTCTGTCCTCTGTCAGGGGTTGCAAGCCAGCCCAAGTAGCACCCAGTGAGGCTCAAGGGAGTCCTGGGGCTCCAGATGGGTACTTCAAGCTAATTTGTTTTGGGGGAGCCTCCTAACCCTGCCCCAGGGCCTGTCTCCTCTTTGAGAGGTCTTATAGCCTGGGAAGCCACTGACAAATTAGCCATGAGGATAACCCTACATGAGGAACTTCATTGGACAGCACAACCTAGAGGCAACCGCCAATAAACACCTTGTATTCCCTGGCCTACTTTCTGGGATTCCTGGGTCCTCCACCTCTCTGCTTAGCCTCCTTTTCAGATTAGACAGTGGGAGGCTACTACCCACAGTGCTCCTGGTGAGCCACAATGTGAGGTGTCCTGGGCAAGCCATGTGTGCTCCCAGGATGTTTGAACCAAGGAGCAAATTCATCCCTCAAACACTGGAGCTTTGTCCTCCAGTTGTGTGGCTCTTTAATGTCAGCACCAGGGTTGTCACTGAGGGGACCCATTCCTAACTGTGCTGCTGTGCGCTTGGCCCTGGCCTGGGGGTGGGACTTTGTTGCTGCACATTCAAAACAAAAGGCATATATGACCTAAGCGGAGAGTTAGTAGGAAGTTCCAGTTTCTTTCCTCTCCTGCCTTCTCTTTTCACTCTCCTCTGCTAATGCAGACAGAGCAGCTGGCTGTTTAGGATTCCTCTCCGTGGCACCCGCCTGAAGCTCTGGGCAGTATTTCTTAGGCTTCTCGGCATGTGGAGGAGAAGGAACCATAAACTTCTCTTCCTTTCAAGTCCTTCTTGTCATCTCTGGCCACTGTATCCCCATCCCCTGCTTCCCTCTATTCCTAACGTATGTTTCATTGATCCATAATGTTTCCTGGCCATACAGAAAAACAGTGGCACACGTAGTCTGAAGTCACAGGACACTATAAAATTCACTTCCCAACCCAGCTGGTCTGAGATAACAGTTAAAGTAGACTTGCGTCCTGGAACACCACCAACACCATCTGCAGAGGACAGGGCAGCCCTGGTGTGAGGAAGGCAAGCCAAGTCCACTTCAAACAGTGGATTAACTTCCAACTATCCACCCTCCAGGTTCCAGCCAAACCAGGTCTTGTGCCTGTTTTTACAGGGCTCTGCAGCAGGAATGGTTTTCATATTTTCAACACAAAACAAAAACAAAGAAAAACATGCAACAGACTTTTCCTGGCAAAGCCTGAGATTTACTCTCCAGTCCTTTACTGAAAAAGTTTCAGGGCAACTGCAACAAACTACAGACTGCAGAAAATGTATCTATTTTCTCTTAATGTGTTCTGAGTCTTTCCACAGACGGTACCTGGGAGCAGCACCGCTCCTACTTATTACAAGCACCGTCTCTCACCTGCTCTGTGAGCAGCGGTCGCCCCTTCCAGGAGTGGGGAGGAATAAATGAGATACAGTACGTAAAGCCTGACACGCAGCAAATGAGGGAACAAGATCAAGCTGTTACAGGGTGAGGCAGTGTGGTGAAGGCTTTGGGCCAGACAGGGATCAGGGATGAGTGTCCACACTCTGCCATGAGCTGAGATCAATTGTTTATCATTATGAATGAACCTCAGTATTCTCACCTGTTTCGGTTTGGTTTTTGTCTTGCAGTACTGGGCATCACACCCAGCACCTTGCCCATGCTAGGCAAGTGCTTTATCACTGAGCCACATGCCTGTTCTACAGTACCTGCCTCGTTAGGAGTGCGGATTAAATTAAACGTCAACTGCCGGGTAAGAGCACCGATTAACTCTGATGCAGGATGGCACAGGTCCCTGGAACTGGGTGGGGCTGGGGTCTCGGAGGCCAAGCTGATCCTTACTTGATGGGGTAGGTCTCATCTTCTCGCCTCTGCTTCTCCTGTGCAGGTAGAGTCTCCCAGCCGAAGGTCAGGCTCCAGTCAAAGTTGCCCCGGCTATGGACTCTGCCCCCGGGGATGGGCTTGGAGAACTCAAAGGTGTCAAGGTTAATGGTGACGATGTCTGGGCTCACCACTGCCACCTGGTCCTCAGCAATTCGAGCCAGGAGGGGCTCCAGCCAGCCATAGAAGCACTCACCTGCAGGCCCAGACAAAGGGGCAGCAGTCTAGGCCCTGCCCACAGCTGACCCAAGTCCCACCTGGTGGGCACCCAGGAGGATCAAAGGAACCTTCCCCTACTCCCTGGTTAGCTCCACAGCTGTAGGGAACAGACAGCAATCTGAAACCCGCCTGCCCCCACTCCCCTGAAAGGTGGAGGCTGCTTTGGAAAGGAAAATGGAGGCGGGGAGGGGGAACATGGCCAACTCCAATGACCCAGAAGCACAGGGAAGGGCCAGGATACAGATTTTCAGTACTTCCAGCCTCACCCACAAGGGCCAGCTCCCCACTTATGTGTGGATTTCAGGAGGTGTTCCCTTTCCCAGGATTTGGATCTCAAGATTCAGCTCCAATGGTAAAAGAGTCCCTTACATTCTTCTATCTTTTGAGATTTTCAATGAACTTCTGCATATATTACTTCATTGGGCTCCTGAGTAATAACTGTGGTAGGTAAATAAGGTTGGTGTTCTCATTCCTTTGTTTGGTTTTTCTGAGACAGGGTCTCACTATGTAGCCCAGGCTGGCCTCAAACTCACTGAACTCCTCCTGCCTCAGCCTCTCGAGAGCTGGGATTACAGGTGTGCACCACCATGCCCAGCCTCATTCCAATTTTACAAACGAGGAAAGTGAGGCTCAGTGAGTAACAGGGTCAGAATGGGAGCCAGGGCTTCTCACTCCGAGTCAAGAGCTTTCCCCAATGTGTATCACTGCCAGCCCTTAAGGAATAGTTATTTTTTCCCCCGACCATGGTGGGGAGCTGTTTTGGTTTTAGTTAGGAGGGAGGTCTTGCTGGGTCCACATGGCCTTACAGGAAAGCCCAATGCACACCAGTTCCCAGTGGTGGCAGGAGGCCTGTCTGAGGGGCAGAGGTCAGAATAAGGTACGGGTGGGGAGGGACACTCGTCTGTCACTCCAGAGTACACTCCCAGGAATTTGGGCCCACCACTTGATGTAGGGCCATGTGTGCCACCTGACAAAACATCCCTACATTGGGAGAAGGAAGGGGTAGAAGTGGGAGAAGCTCCCAAGCCTTCTTCCCTCCTGCAACACAACAGGGTGGTCTTGGTTCTGCCGGGGGGTGGAGAGGGACAGGTGACACAAGTCTCAGGGTGCCAGGGTGGGTGTCTCCTACTCACAGTGGGCATCCAGGAACGTCAGCACCTCTGCCTGCGCCACACTGGCCCCCAGCAGCCGGGCAGTGATCAGCCCTTTCCGCTCCTCCTGCCGCACCACCTTCACAATCTGCAGCTGCTCCACGTACCGCTCCAGCTTCTCCTTCAGGTATTCTGGAAGGGATAGGGCCATTGTTGCAGGCCGGCACTGCTGCAGCCTCATCCGAGGTGAGCACCCAGCCCAGGTGCTTCTCAGCTCCCCCGAACGGCAACCCTCCCACACCACCTATACTGAGCCCTTCCAGAAGGAATGGAAGGCAAAGGTAGCCGGGTGTGTGACAAACACCTGTGATCCGAGCACTGAGGAGGCTGAGGCAGGAGGATTGCTGCAATTTCAGTGAGACCGTGTCTCAAAACAAACAAACAAACAAACAAACAAAAACCAAAACCAAAAAAAGGTGGTAATATAGGGAGGAGGAGAGGGGAGGACAGTGGAATGAAGAAGAAGCGCTGCCCGTGGCCAGAATCCCCTTGCCAGGACACTAGCTCCATAGCGCTGGCTCCTGATTACAGAGGCACCTTCTTTATCATCCGAGACACACCTGAGAGTTGTATTTCTTTGGTCTCAAATCAAGTCCAAACTTCTGTCAAAGGATCTCAGATGCTCAGACGCCCTAGCTTTCCACCCTCTCAGGCACTTCTTTCAGAGCTGCCTTTCAAGCTTCCTTCTCTCTCACACCTGGTGGGTGCACAGTCATTGCCCAGTGTCTATCTTTTCTGTTTCCCACACTCTTCAGAGCAAGTTTGATTGGTAAAGTACACACAGAGGCTGACTTCTTCGCAGGAGGTTTATCCCTGGCCTTAATCCCTCCTTTGATTACCTCTTCTAGCACTTTTTTTTTTTTTTTGGTGCTGGGGCTCGAACTCTGGTCCTTGCCCTTGCTGGGCAGGCAGCGGAACCACTGAGCTAAATCCCCAGCCCCACCTCTTCTGAATATGCAGTTTTTAAAAGATAAAAACAAGCTAAGCAGCTTTTAACTCACACACACACACATTTTTGAGACAGGTTCTCGATAAGTTGCTAAGTTGCTGAGACTGGGCTTGATCTTGTGATTCTCTGACACTCAGCCTCCCAGAGGCTGGGATTACAGGCATGGGTCACCATGCTTGGATAAATTACATTTTTAAAGGGGCTGGGTATGTAGCCAAGTGGTAGAGTGCAGGGCTCTTGATTCAATTCTCAGCACTTAGAAAATAAAACAAGCCCTGGGCACTAAGTGCCTGCCCAGGCCAGGCACAGTGCTGGAGGCCAGCATACAGTGGTGAGCACTGGCCATGCAATCATTTTTCCTAAGGAACAAATTGCCCTGGCGCAAGAGGACCAACCACTCCCATTTGAGGGTGGCGGGGAAAGCCTTCTGAAAAGACAGCATCTCTGCTGAGACTGCCAGCGCCTTCTCCAGAGGGGCAGTCTGCTTCCTTCCCACTCACTCCTCTTCAGCCCCGCCAGCAGTCTCTGTGCCCCATGCACGTGCCAACCCTCAGGACCTTTGTGGTGACACTCAGAGTGGCCTTTCTTCACTACTGTGACTAAGAGTTCCCTAATGACCACGGTATTAACCCCAAATCTTAAGACGTTAGAAAATAGCTCCATTTTGAAGGATTCATCTTGAAACATATTCCAAATCTTGTTTTTTGAGACAGGGTCTCATTTCATAGTTCAGGCTGGCCTTGAACTTATGGTGATCCTCCCGTCTCAGACTCCTGAGTGCTGAGATTATAGGGATGCACCACAGAGCCAGCCCAAATCTTGTTTTATTAACCGCTATTTTGGTTTATCTGTTCTTTTCTCAACTATGCAGAATGGAGTTGGTGATCATTTCAGAGGTGGAGGGCAGGTATGACACATGTGTACTGTATGTCCCTTCCATTTCAGACTGTTCAATCAGCCTAGTATTTAGCCCTTGCTCTGAGAACAGTGTGTTACCAATTGCGGATCCTAAAATCAATTCAGTGGGTTGCCGATGATCTCATACACACAAGCACATGTGCATCCTGTCTCTGAACACTTGAGCACCTTTGGTATGCCAGCTACTGAGCGAGGTGCTTTCATGTTGACTTCCTACTTTAATCTTCTAGAGGAGGGTGACAACTCTGTGGCACAGGGAGTATGGTTGGTCCCCAGGATGTTAATAGATGGAAAACTATGAGTGATGACCCCAGGGTCACAGCAAGTGCAAAGAGCACATGCAGGCCCTAACCAGCCTGTGTCACCTCCGTCCCCCAGGAGCAACGAGGCCACACGGCCAGGACTTGACGTACATATGTTGCAAAGTAGGCTGTCGTCTAAAGGTCTTGCCACTTGGCCACATGTGAGGCCCCGGGAAGAGAAAACAAGAAAGGGACTTTGTCAGGTTGTTCTTTTGGTCACTGCTCTAGAGAGTGGAGCCCCACGGGAAAGAAATTCTTCTCCTTTTTTTTCTTCTTTGGTTTTTCTGGATAGACAAGAGCTCCCAACCCAGTGCGGACTTATATGTGGAATTCTTCAGGCAGTCACTGTGGGCTGTATCTTACTGCAGAATTGACACCTCTTGCCTCTGGAGCCAGGGCCTCAGGAGTCAAAATTAGCCTCCTATGCAGCTTCAGCCCAGAAGCCACTCAACAAACCTCTGCTGGTGCTCTGCCCATGTGTCAGACCCCAAGGAGCCCATAGATTCCACAGCCCCAAGTGCTGGCTCTGACAGGGGGGAGGGAGGAGCCCCAACCAAGAGCTTCATGTTCTCAGTGTGGCTGACATTTCCCCTGAGAACTAGCTTAATTCTGCTCACAGGAAGCCCATGGTAGTAGAGATAGCCCAGGGACAAAATGTCACAGGAAGTGGGTTTTGTGGTAAGAGACTAAGAAGCACTGAATCGTGCCCCTCAGGGGAGCCTGAGCTCTACAAAGTTCTCCCACACCTTTCTTCAAGTCTCAAGTGGCTAGGCTGGATGGACCTGGGATTCTGAGCTCAAAAGGTACCAGCTCCAGGCTTCAGGCCATTCTAGGGGTGCAAGACAACTCCCCTAAGAAACTTCCCCATTACTCCTTCCGCTGTCCCACCCGTGAGCCCACTGGACATAGGAACCAGAACCGAAGATGGCAGAGCTGAGCATGGAGACAGGCAAGTTCATTCACCTCCCTCAGATGACAGCCTTTTAATTTGGGTTCAGTACTCCACTACTCCAGCTTAGCTTCACTCCACACAACTCAAGTCCACAAGCTAGTGGTGACCCATAACACACAGGCCTCCCTCGGTCCCATCTAGATGCAGCTGCTCCCCGGCTTTGCCATCCATCTTCATTTAAGTGTCCAAGAGAACTGCAAACCTAACATGCTCCAAACAGAACTTTTGCTACTACCCCACCAGCCTCCCAGACCCCCACATCCGTTCATGACACCAGCATCCCTCAGCTGCCCTAATGCTGGATTTTCCCGACTCACTCTGCCCTCTTTTATACATCAGCAAGTATAGCCAGTTCACTGTCCACCTCCAAGGTCATAGTCTTTTGGTCTCAACTTTACATCACTCTCTCTAGTCTTTGTTTGTGTTTTTGTCTTCATTTTTGGCAGTACTGGGGACTGAATCCAGGGCCTTCACCTTGAGCTATATCCCTAACAGTTTCTGTATTTTTCTACTTTAAAACAGAGTTTTGCTAAACTGCCCAGGCTGGGCTCAAATTTGGAATCCTCTTGCATCAACCTCCTGAGTGCTGGGATTATAGGCGTGTGCAACCACGCCCAGTTCCCCAGTCTATTTTTGACATACAGTTACAGAGAATAGCAGTTATCTCCTGAAACTAAAATTGTAAATCAGATCATTTCACTAACAGTGGTTTGTTTATTTGTTTGTTTTTGCTTTTCTGAGATAGGGTCTTGCTATGTAGTTCAGGCTGGCCTCAAACCACAGTGACCCTTCTGCCTCAGCCTCCTGAGTGCTGGAATTACAGGCATGTGCCACCA